ACATTTCATTACACCAAATACACAAAATAATGTTCTTTTTAGCAACATCATATGACCCCTTTAAAGTCTAATATTATTTTCTCTCTTTGTACTCCGTGCTTCATTAGCAGTACAACGGTCATGTCTTCAGTTTAGGGGAATGTGCCGTTAGCTGTGACATGCCAATACTATTCACACAGTAAAGAAAATGCCTTCTCACATTTTCTCAATTTCCGTTGAAAATAGACCACTGAAAAAACATTAATAACTTGATTGAAAATTTGGCTTGAGATAAAAGAGTGGCTCAGTTTTTAAAATGTGTGCATTTAAAATTAAATGATACAAAATGTCAATATTAATTGCACTGCAGGTGAGCTGTGGGGAGCAATGTAACATTGCAAAACAATTCTGAACATTGCTTACTGGCAGCTACATACAGGGTCGTATAGCACTTTAGAGAGAAAGACGAGTGCAGTCTGGGAAATCCATTTTTTTTCTCTTTCTTTTGTTTTAGTTTGATTGTTTATATGCATGCTGACATGTATTTATACAGACTGTAGATTATTATTTTTGTCCATTGTTATCTCTTTCAGGATTTGATGTTTCCATTTCCAGTGCAATCTTTCAACTTTAAAATAAATTGTTTAAATAAAATATATTGTTTAAATTGTTACTAGTACTACCTTGAGTTATTATTTTGGAATAAATGTAAAATGTTAAAAAACAATAAACTGATTAGATTTATAGTTGGTTTTAATAAATAGAATAGCCTATTAATTACATTGTTAATGTAAAAATACAAAATAGATTTTTATTCTGGTATAGTGTAAGTAATGTTTATTTAACCAAGAAAATGTGACTGGGACATTAATTTACATTTAATAAAAAAAAATGCCTCCTCAATTCAGAACACCACTGTTTACAATAATAAGGGCTTTTCTTGCTTGGCTTCAGATAAATATCAGGTTTTCGGATGTAACTTTCAAAACAGCAGCTATGAGATATTGTAAATGAAAACTAGATGAGGTGAGAAAGTTGTTTAAACTTTTGACGTGAGATGTAACAAAGCAAAAGACATTTGAGCTAAATAAATGATGACAAAGCAATCACATCCAAGCTGCTGTGTACAGTAGAATATGTGAGTATTCTTATGCACTTTGAAGTATCTGATGCAGTGGATTGAACACAGCAATTGTTGATGAAATACAGCTATCAATGCATTTTTTTCCTGAGGCGAAATTTTGAAAGTGGCAGTTTTTGTTGTGTTGAAATACAGGAGTCAAGCCCGCTCTCAACATGTAGTGCTCTTTCTGACACTTATGATCAGAAATACACAGAGATATATGAAAACTGTAATTCGTCATTTACTAAAGTAATATTTAAAGGGTACTAAATGTAGAAAGCCTTTATAACATGCCACGTCAGACTTTGGGGATTTTTGTGAACAGATGGTCACTGAGTGTATTAATATTGCATTCATTCTGTCTGTGTCCCCTGTGAAAATGATAAACAATATAGAGAACAGATTAAAATTGGATGGGTACACTAAATAAAAATACAGTACATCATAACATTAAGTGGTTTCCAGGTAGTAGTGATTACAAGCTACAAAGGATGTATATAAATCTTGTCTTTAATATACAGTAGCAGAATTTTAGCATTATGTAGAAACAACCTAAGCACATTACTCAGTAAACCTACTTTGTCTTAATTTCCCAGAATGCATATTATTTCTGAGGTCTACCATCTTTTCCATTTTCTGCCTAACAAGCCTCATATGTATTTCTGTGTGTTTTCAGGCGTCTCCACTGCACCAGGAACTACATTCACATGCACCTGTTTGTTTCCTTCATGCTGCGTGCTGTCAGCATCTTTGTGAAGGATCACGTGGTACACACTAGTGCCAGGCTGCAGGAATTTGATGCTGTGCTTATGAATAACTTCACTAATGCTGTGGATGTGGCACCAGTGGACACTTCACAGTATGTGAGTCAAGTGCTATCTCATGCATCTTAGTATTAAAGTATTTGATCAAATATTGTTCAAGTATCTTATGTCGCTACATTTCAGATTATGTAATGTATATTTATATTAGGGTTGGGTTATATAGTTTAAAAGGGTAAATGACATATTTATAAATGATAAATATACTGCATACACTGTAAACCCTAACGCTAAAAATAATTCACTGGTTTGAGTAGGGCTTATATTAAACAAATTAGTTCAATCAAATTAACTTTTATGAGTATTTAGAACTTTCTTTTTTTAAAGAAAGTTATCTGAATTGTTTCAGTGTTTTGAATTTAATGAACTTTTCTTTTAATTCAGACAAACTTAATTTATATGATCGTGGTTTTGCACAACTTGTCAGTGAACAACGGCTCTGTGTAGTAAATGCTGCTTCATGTGAAAGCAATGATTTACCGCTGATTACAGAAGCGGCTTTACTGACAAGATGCGCATTAAATATCGCATGCGATTTATCGTGCAGCCCTAGTTTGTCAGAGAGGTATAAAAAGGTTATACCGCAGCAGCCCTCGTGTAAAGACCAGCGACTCCACCAAGCAGGATGCCGACAAGGGACATAAGTATCGCTTTTTATTCGTTCTCTTTCCTACAACTTGTTTCACTTCTCTTCCAGTTTTTATGACCGATATTTACTATGTGTTTCCATATCCTTACTATTACTAACACTCGCAAACCACACATCACACACTGTAGGCAGTATAATCCTGACAACCTGCGCATTTTGCCTATGTCTGCTAATACACTACTTTCTTTTCCTATTGGTCTCTGGAATTGCCAGTCTGCTGTAAACAAAGCAGATTTCATTACATCTATTATTTCATTACATCCATGAGCTCAACCTCAGGGCCCTGACAGAGACCTGGATCAAACCAGAAGACACTGCTACACCTGCAGCCCTCTCCAATAATTTCTCTTTTTCCCACACCCTGATCTGACTGGAAGAGGTGGAGGTACTGGTCTGCTTATTTCTAACGATTGGAAATTTAATCCTTTACCATCTCTGGTTATCAACAGCTCCTTTAAATCTCATTCAGTTACTATCACCCACCCTCTTAAAATCCATTTCGTAGTTGTTAATCGACCCCCAGGACCGCTAGGTAAATTCTTGGAGGAGTTAGATGTGCTGCTCTCAACCTTCCCTGAGGATGGTACTCCTCTGGTAATGCTTGGAGACTTTAATGTCCACCTAGTTAAATCTCAGGCCAGAGTCCCGCGTGGGCAGGTACCCGACGGGTGAACCGCTAATATCTGATGTAACGGGTGGAATAATGCTTTTGTGTCGGGTGCGAATCAGACGGGTGACAGTCACAGGTGGGTTGCGGGTCCGATATTTCGTAGTTGTTAATCGACCCCCAGGACCGCTAGGTAAATTCTTGGAGGAGTTAGATGTGCTGCTCTCAACCTTCCCTGAGGATGGTACTCCTCTGGTTATGCTTGGAGACTTTAATGTCCACCTAGTTAAATCTCAGGCCAGAGTCCCGCGTGGGCAGGTACCCGACGGGTGAACCGCTAATATCTGATGTAACGGGTGAAATAATACTTTTGTGTCGGGTGCGAGTCAGACGGGTGACAGTCACGGGTGGGTTGCGGGTCCGATAGACAAGACTATTTCGACTCAATCCAATACACTCTGACAGGCAGCTGCTTTCAAATGGTCCCGTGCTTGTGTTCACGCTCTATATGAAGACCATTAATGGCTTTTAATTACAGCGCGATTTGCAGCACTGAGCATTGTAGCCAATCAAACGAGAAGGGTCTGGCTGCAGCCTCGCACTTGCACTCTCAGACTTGCACTCTCAGACTTGCATTCTCAGATACTTGCGCTTCCGCTAGCGACGTCACTTGCAGGCTTTATTTTTTATTTTGTTCTATTTTTTATTATTTTTTGTTTGAATCTCTCAACATTTTACAACAGTAGCCAGGTGGTGAAGACAAGAAAAAAGAAACTAAATTGCAATGTCACTTGCAATCGCCACTTGTACTCTTGTTAAGCTTGTTAGCTCCCTGTGTGTATATATAGCCCTAGTTTTTCTTTAGTTCCTTGTGAGTTGTTGAATGTAATGGTTGTCTGCCAGTCATTCTGTTCTTTGTTCCCTTTGGGTTTTGCCTTATTGTTTGTTCTAGTTTTTCCATGAAATACCTGCACATAGATCCTTGCCTCTGCCTGTTTTCCACAGCTTCTCCACAACGTTACAGTTTATCACTGGCATGTCTCTTTGACTAGTGCATCTTTGAGCCTATATTTAGTATAAGTAAAATACTTAAGTACTGTTAAAATCAGATATGCTAAGACTTTTACTCAAGTTGTTTTGGGATTGGTGACTTGTAACGTGTAGTGGAGTAATTTTCACTGTAAAGTATCTGTAATTTTATTCAAGTATGGTTTTTAGGTACTCTTTACACCTCTGCATAACAATAATCTACAAATAATTAACATGACAGCAGTCCATTAATTAACATATTGTTTAGTGAAAAGCTGTGTTTGTGAAAAAAATAAACCCTTGTTAACTTTAAACTGTCGTTTCTGACCAACAC